AGTCAGCCATCTCTATGTGTCTCTGTCTTTCCTTTATGAATTTCTGCTCCTTTGTCCTAACACCAATGACTTTGGGTATCTGTATTAGTCTGTTCTCATGCTGCTAGTAAAGACATATCCAAGACTGGGTAATTTACAAAGGAAAGAGATTTAATTGACTTGCAGTTCAGCATGGCTGAGGAGGCCTCAGGAAACTGACAGTCACGGAGGAAGGGGAAGAAAACACATCCTTCTTCATACGGCAGCAGCAAGGAGAAGTGCTGAGCAAAAGGGAGAAAGTCCCTTATAAAACCATCAGATCTCATGAGAACTCACTATCATGAGAATAGTATGGGGAAAACCACCCCTATAATTCAGTTATCTCCACCTGGTCCTGCCCTTGACACGCGGGGATTATTACAATTCAAGGTGAGACTTTTGTGGGGACACAGAGCCAAACCTTAGCAGAATCCTATTTAGGATTCCATTATATGTTTTATAATATTTTTTGAGTTTCCATATTAAATCACTTTTGAAAGTACATATATCTTCCGACTTTTCATCAAAGACGAATCCCTACTTCCATAGGCTTCAAAGTGAGGATCATAACAATACCTTCTTCACAGTATTATGTAAATTAAATACATTTTCATGTGAAGGCTGGGATTAACTAAGTGTTGGAAGATCTCTGGAGTTCTTTCTGTAATTGAAGCCAAGCTCTTGATTGCCTGTGAGGCTGGTAGGATGTGGGTGATCACATTACATTTCTGGTCTGTTTCTCAAATTTCATCACATTGCTGTGAAAAGTTATCATGGATATGTCAGGTTTTGAGCATGCTGTGATGCTGGGAGCTTGGTGGAGACCTTCTGGAGAAGAGAAAATGGAGGAAGGTCAAAGTGAAAAGCTAATTTCCCCATTTCCGGCCATTTTTGCTAGGAATGGATGCCAGCCTCACAAGGTAGCCAACTGAACTGGAGCAGTTACTCACTCTTCCATTTGGGGGCTGGTGTTGTGAAGATCATCCTAGGCAAGAAGGAACTGCTGAACTGTGAACTTCACTATCTTCTACAAATCATCAAAATGTTTAGGTCTTATTTGCCTTACCCCATGCCTTGCTAGTGTTCTAGGTCAAGACGGATTTGTTTCATCACAAAGAACCTATAGAGACATAATGTTTCTTTTCATCTATGCCAGGTTAGCACGTTTTAACTTACTTCAGTTGACATAGAGTTATTTTTAAGAAGAAACTTCAATTGGCAACTAGGAGGGAAAAAAATAAAAACAGAACAGACTGGTTTACAGTTTCTTTTAAGATACATTCCCTCCTTTCCTAACTTTCTTCCTTCCTCTTTTTCTTCCTTTAATTTTTTTTTCTGATTCTTTCTTTATTTAATAAATTTCTTGAGCACTGTGCTGGTCAGTGGGGAGTCAAGGATAAATAAAATGCATGATTTTCTTCCTCTAATTTAGCTATAATTGAGCCAAGCAGCAGCTTAGCTGCTGCAGCTCATAGAACACCAAATCCTAGATGCATTTTCCAGCTTCAATACTAGGTATGCCAATTCCCATTTGAGCTCATTTTAGTCTAAGCCTCTGTTTGAGGTTCTCAGAATCTGATATTCTACGTACCTTACTTTTCTGTGGCACTTGTGTTGTTGCAAGGCAATGGACTTGCATTATTCTTAACTGCCATCAGATGGTGCCTAATGCTGGTGCCCATAATTTACAAATATTATTTATTTTAAATAAATTTCTGATGAAGTTAATTTTGCTTTCACTATAAAAACATATCCCTAAAATATAATCATGCACTGCATATTTCAGTCAACGATGGATCACGTATATGACAGTGGTCCCATAAGATTGTAATACTCTATCTTTACCTTTTCTATGTTCAGATACGTTGAGATGCACAAATACTTACCATTGTATTCTAATTGCCTACAGTATTCAGTAAAGTAACATGCTATACAAGTTTTTTTGTTTTGTTTTATTTTGTTTTGTTTTGTTTTGTTTGAGACAAAGTCTTGCTCTGTCGCCCAGACTGGAGTGCAGTGGTGCGATCTCGGCTCACTGCAACCTCTGCCTCCCAGTTCATGCCATTCTCCTGCCTCAGCCTCCTGATTAGCTGGGACTACAGGCCCCTGCCACCACGCCCAGCTAAGTTTTTGTATTTTTAGTAGAGACAGGGTTTCACCGTGTTAGCCAGGATGGTCTTGATCTCCTGACCTCGTGATCCGCCTGCCTCGGCCTCCCAAAGTGCTGGGATTACAGGCGTGAGCCACTGCGCCCGGCCACATGCTATACAAGTTTGTAGCCTAGGAGTAATAGGGTAGACCATATAGCCTCCATTTACACTGGGTTATACCATCTAGCTTTGTGTAGGTATACTCTATGATGTTCATACAATGACAAAAATCACCTAAGGATGCAGTGCAGTTCTTATAATGTATTCCAGTCGTTAAGTAATAAGTGACTGTATAAAGCATTTAACCATTTGCTAATCACTAAATTTTGCATACTCACAACCAATATTTGCATTCTGCTTTATAATTTGCTATTAAATATGTTCACATTATTAAAATATTTCTTTTGAGTTCCCCATAGGTCTTTGAGGTTAGTAGGGCAAGTGTCTTTATTTGCCTCATTTTACAGATGACAGAAAGGTCATCTGTAAAATGATATGGCCAAGGTCACCCAAGTACTAAGCAGTAGCATAGGGATATAAGGCCCAGTCCTCTGATTTTATATTTAAGCAAATTGTTTAATACCATGCCGTAACAACACAAATAAAGAAGAAATACCAAGTTACAAGTCCAGTAAAAGTTGATCTAAAGACCCTGTATTATAAATCTTTACTCAACTAGTTTTCTCCTTGTTGCTTTCAGAAAACTGTTGAAGTTATGTTCCACATTTGATATCCACATTTTCCAGGTATTGAATGACTGAGACCCACATAGCACTCACTTGTCTACTATGAAGTGTTAATTGCCATCGTAACCTTCACTTTCTCTCTGAGATCAATACTTTTCCTTTTTTGTTTTATATTATACAATGAGAGACGTCCCCTCTTACTTTATATTCCTTGAACAATAAGGACCCCTTAACATTACACATCTAAAATGATATATTAACACAGGATTTTTTTTAGTAAAGAAAAAAAACAATTTCCCTAGTAACTAGGTTGCTATAGTCTCTTAGGAAGTTCAGCTATTATTGCTGAATGCTCAAATCTGTCTTATTCTTCTTAAAGTATCCAAGCCATTTTTTTCAGTATGAGCAATTTAATGATGCTCTAAAAATAATTTTTAAAAATAGCTAACCAGCAGGGCATGGTGGTGCGTGCCTGTAGTCCCAACAACACAGGAGGCTGAGGTGGGAGAATCTCTTGAGCCCAGGAGCTGGAGGTCAGCCCGAGCAACATAGTAAGCCTCAAACTCCTAGAAGCCTCAAACTCCTGGGCTCAATCAATCCTCCCACCTCAGCCTCCTGAGTAGCTGGTACTACAGTTGTGTGCCACCACGCCAGGCTAATTTTTAAATATTTTGTAGAGACAGAATTTCACTGTTTAATGGTTTTTCTTTTTAAAGTCTTGGTGCCACCAGGCCTGGGGCACTCCATGCTCCAGCAATCCTAGGTTGGTAAGAAATTAATCTATTGGTTACACTTGCCTCAGTGTATTGTTCTGTCAAGCCTCCAGCCTGCTCACCGCCACAAGCTTTATCAGCAGTTGACTGGGTCTCTGCCTCCTCTTTGGGCATCAGGTTTCAGGTGTATGGCTTGAAATGATTCTTAATAAATCACCCTTCTTCTCATTGACACCTCACCCTAGCTCCAGAACTTGCTCTCCCCTGTGACCTGCCCCACTACTGATAAGCTCTTTGCTGGCACTAACTTTAGGTCATTCTCCAGGCCATATGGACATGGCATTCCAGGAAAAGGGGAGGTGTGAACTGGGGGCACGTGAATGTGGACTAGCACAGTGTGTCTGGGTAATGGCAGTGATTAGTGTGATTGGAGCTAAGGTCTGTGCAGGGGGCATAGGAGGACACCAGGCTAAGAAGGGAAGTTTGGCCTAGATTGAATAGGGCCTTCTCATTACATTAGACTTGATCCAGTACTCAGTGCAGAGCCGCTAACAGTTTTGGGGCAGGAGAGTGAGTTAATCCTATTCCTGTTTTAGGAAGAGGACTTCAGTGTCAGCATGGAGGGGGACTGGAGGATGAGACTGCAGGAGACAGGGAAGCTCTTTACAGGAGGTTTGCCTTGATCCAACATAAAATAGTAAAGGGTGGATTCTGAGATCTGGCAGTGGAATGAAGAGATAAAGAAGATGGGATAGATTGTTTCAGAAATAAAACTGATACAACATTTTGATTAATTGAATATAAGTTAGAAGGAGCAGGGAAAGTCAAAGGAGTGGTCTTCTTAAACATATATGTAGAAGTTTGTGCCAGTAACTGAGTGAGAAATAGAAAAGGTAAAGCAGGTTGGGGAGAAGAAGACAGGTTCTGTTCTAAATATGCTGTTTGAGGCCTGAAAGGAGAAGCTAAATGTGTATCAGATAGACAGGGGACACTCTGGGAGTCAGTCATAGAATTTACAGGAAACATCAAGAGTTGTTGCAGATTGGTCCAAGTCAAACCAAAGAGGAAACTGAACTCAGAGATTGAGTGACAGGTAGCAGGACTTAAGGATATGTGATAAATAACTGGCTTTCAACATTCACTGAACATTTAAGGCACTTGGGAGGCTTTAGAGTATTAGTAATTTCATTGAGATACAATTTACATAGCATAGAATTCATCTGTTTAAACTTTAGAATTCACTAGTTTTTAGTATATTCAATATTGTGCAACCACCACCACCACTTAATTTTAGAACATTTTGTCACCCCAAAAAGAAACCCTATGTCCATTAGCCATCACTCCCTACTCCCTGCAATGAACTTAAAAAAGAAGGTTGCTACTGGAAGGGTATGGTAAAGCTCACAGTCTCACAAAGGGCTGAATTACCAGACCTTAGGAAGAGCAGAAAATACTCCAGCTCTTGGATTCCCAGGAGAAGAAACTGAGAGGCTTTTTCTTCCCAGGGATGCTGACTGATGACTCAGCATTCACATCTTCTCTCCTATGTGTCTCTCCTCAGTGGCCAAATTTCAGAGAAGGAAATTCAAAATGACCTCTGGTCAGGGAAGCTAGTCAGAGAAATCAAACAACAACAATGAAAAACCAGATGTCTAACCACATCGTTGGTCTGGAGAAAGCTGCATGTACGAAGACTCTATATTGCCTCCAGTTGAGAGTGAATGTGAGGTGAGGAAACAGTACATGAAACTTTACTCTTCAACAAGTCTATACCAAGGGAAAAAGAAATAAAGCGATTGTGCACAGTGACCTCCTGGGCTGAAATATTTCTCCCACCCCAGCCTTCTGAGTAGTTAGAACTACAGGTACACACCACCACACCTGGCTAATTTTTAAAAATATATATTTTTTGTAGAGATAGGGTCTCCCTATGTTTCCCAGGCTGGTCTTGAACACCTGGATTCAAGTGATCCTCCTGCCTTGACCTCTCAAAGTGCTGGGATTAGAGGTGTGAGCCATTGTGCCTGGTCTTTGTTTAAGATATGATGTCCTCGAATATGTTTATAGGCTGGGAGACTTGGGGGAGAGGGGAGGTAATTAATGAAGCAAGTTACAGAAGAAGGCAGGTAGGGCTGATATTAGGGGCACAGGAGGAGGGATTAGCTTTGGAATGTAGGAGGCACACTTTTCCAAATAGATGGAGATTTGCAGGGTAAGGGGAAAGGAGAGATCTGCAAACTGATGGCCTATATTTCTCAGGGAAACAAAAGACAAAGTGATGTGTAGATTGAGGGTCTAGGGAGTGAGGACTTGAGGTGAGTGGTGGGTCTGTGACTCCTGCTGCGGGGTCAGGTTCACTAAGGGCAGCAGAGCAGGGGAGAGGTCCAGTCAAGTTTGACACCATGGATTGCTTTTTGTTCCTTTTTCCTTCCAATACTGCTTTTTTTTTTTTTTTTTTTTTTAACATTTTAATGTTTATTTACCCCTCTCTCAGAGTGAACTTGAAATGTTAAAGGTTAGACTGAATGGACCACATCATAAAGTTTCTGCTCAAGTTTTGGTGGTGTGAGGATGAAGTGGGCACAAAAGTAGCTTGTTATTATTGGACTTCACTTACCCTTGTTTCTCCATCATAACCCCTGGCCCACAGATGTTGGTTTGTCTTACTATTCTTGAGGACTTGGAGCCCTTGGTTCAGAAGATGAGGCAAGAGTGCGGTGGATCCCCTCAGGTGTAACTTTATTGCGCAAGGGTGCACTAAATAGGCAGCACCTGAGTACCAAGTACCACCAAGGTTGTTTTGAGGAAGGTAGTTTATATCACTTCAAGGTAGGGTTGTTGGGACAACCAAGCAAAAGTGGCATAAAGACTATACTTACCTTCCATAACTGCAAGAGGCATCAGTGGCGAACAAAAAGATCTCTCAATTGAAGACCAGGTGACCCCAGATGAGATGTCAATCAAGATCTGCCCCCTCTGAGTTCTTTAAAAATGGAAGCTCCATTCTTGACTTCATAATGGCTTGATTGCAAACATCACAGGCCTTCCTGTTAGCACAGCCCTAAAAAAGAACATCATTTCAGACTGCATTCTGATTGGGAGAAACAATCAGGAATGAGATTGGCGGACCTGAGTTAGAACCCCTATCCCACCACTTCCTAACTGTGTGCCATTGGGCAAATTACTTACTCTCTCAGATCCTATGTCTTTACATATAAAAAGATAATTTTAAGATGATATTAAATATCCTGGTGAAAGCATTAAATAAGGAGTCTGGCACATGTTAGGTGGGCAACAAGTACCGGAAATGATGGATCATGATATTTAATTTAAAGTTGTAGGTTTGGGGGTCTTTGTTAAAATAATGTAAAAGATACTTGTGAAATTTCTCTGTGGATACAATGTAATACAAATTCAAAGTGAAAAGGAGTTAGTCCCATTACCAGAAAGAATACAAAAACAAGCAGCAACAAAAGCAACAAACAAAAAACAAAAAGACTCCTGGTAATCATAAACACAGATGTGTTCTCTTAAAGACTGAGATTCAAATTGCCAAGGACATTATTTTTTGATAAAGCAGTGCAAGTGCAAAGATATATAAGTACCCCTGTCAAGCAGCTCACGGCTACCTCCTAGCACTGTTGTCAAACCCTCAGTAACTCCCCAGTGCTGTTCCTGTCCTTTCCAGTCTCGTCTTTCGCCGACTCCCTTGACCTTTCAGCGCTGGTGAACTTGGATTCCTAGCCCTGCATTTGTTTTCCCCAGTTCAGCATTCTTACTGTTGTCATTCCATTTGTGTCTCTCGAAATCCTTCTCCTATCCCTACCCATAACCCTACGAATTTTCTCATCCTTCAAAACTTGATCAAATCTCCCCTCCTCTAAAGCCTCCTCAGAATCATCACTTTCTGCTCCAAAATCCCATGGTACTTCTCTTCTGTAGAACTAATTTGGCCAGCTAATTAGAGTGGGCATGTGTCATTCTTTTAGGCTGCTCCGCATCTGAAGCCCTTTCCTAAGTTTGAGGGAAGTAGCGCCTGCCTATGGAAGTTGAAGATGCTTGAACATTTTCCTAGCCTCCCTTGCAGTTAAGACAAGGGCACGTGACAGAGGCTGAGCCAATCAGATGCATTCACTCCACTTGGCTGAGGAAGCCAGGGATGTGGAGAAGCAGAGACCCTGCAGTTCTGAAGCAGTTGAGGGTGATGCCTGTGGAGACAGCTGCGTTTGGTTTCCTGAGTCAATGATGGCAGAAAGTCTAGCAGTAGTGGCAAATAGGCACACTGATTGGTCTGTACTCTGTGGTAGGAGTGGCAAAGTCTTCACCAAACCTCATGGCATGATATGGGCATTGCTTTTGGCTACTTATCTCCAAGACTGATTCTCCAGCTTTGCTGAAGGTTTAGGGCCAAAAACAGGAGATTTCAGCATAGTAACTGCTTAAAGTGCAATACAAGGCCACTCTGGGAATTTCTTACTGCTTGTCTTTTTAGAAACTTGCCTCCAGCCGTGGTTAGTGGGCCTTCTTTCTTCCTAGGCCGTGCCCACAGAGGAATTTATAGCAATATTTTTGGATGTTGCAATGTTTTGGGGTCAATGCTGACATTTGGGAGAGGGCAGAGATGCTAGTTTTCCTGCAATGTGCAGGAGAGTCACACACAATGAAAAAGTATCTGTCATCTCCTGTCCTTTTCAAATGTCCCCAGGTTAAAAAAAAAAAAAACACTGTTTATAATTATCTGAGTCTAGAATCTGACTCTGTTTTACATACAAAAACAAAATATTTGGGACTTTTTGAGGGAAGACTGCATTTGGTTTGGACCTTCCCCAAGGGTCTTTGCTATTTAGAGATGTCACATCTTTAAAGATGGCAACAGTGCGTGTGGTGTTGTCAAGGTGACACCTGAGGTTCAGAGCTCGAGCGTCACCCCCTGCACTTCCTAGATTCTGTGGGTCCCACAAGCATCTTACTCCTTCATTGTGTATTTTGTAGTGTCCTCCTGGCCAAGCACTTGTATATTGTAGACATATTTTTATGTATTCCTTAAATTGCTTCCCTTTATTTCTCCTTTATATTACCATTAGGAAAGTATATTCAATTTTTTAAGTTCATTTAAATTTTATTTCAAGATAGTCATGGTGGCATTCTAAATTACTTGTTATAAAAATGAACAAGTACCATGACCATGACCCTAAAGCCCTCTCTTATTTTCCCACAGTCTTTCAGCCTATCCCCTCCCAAACATGTTTGTTACTAAAGATCCATCAGGGTAGAATTTTCAACGTTATTCAATTTTTTTTAAGATAACATACTTTCCTTCCTGTTAGTTATATATATAAATGCCCTCAGAAAATGACTCTATTCTTACAACAACCATAACATCTTGGGTTAAGATTGATTGAAGATTCAATGGCACATTTCAAATGCTGATGGGAGGGGGCTTTAAAACATCAACTCTCAGGCTCCTAGGAGCTCAGTTTCTCTCTAAGCTTTATTGGGTATAAAAAGCATATAGTGACCCAATCCACACTCTGCTTTTAATGGCCATGTGAGGGAAGAAAGCTTTGCTTTATCTCTCTGAATGCTTAGAAAGATTTAAATATAAATTAGCACAAGCTTTGAAAAACAGAAAAGAAGTACCATCATATTCTATTTTTCAGTCACCAATCATCAAATTACAGTTGGTGAACTTTTGGGCAGACTGAGCTACTTGGCCTCATGGTGAGAACACAAAAAGACTCCCCAGGACAAGGTGTCCTCAGCCAGCTCAAGTGCAGGTTGCAGATGGAGCCTCAGTGCCCAGACAACAGTGCCCAAAGGCTTTCTTACCGGTTTCAAGCCTCCTCTTGAATGACAATCATTCTGAGGATGACATTTTGGGGTTAGAATGCTCCTTGACTTTAAAAAACAAACAAACAAACAAACTGAACCTTATCATATTTTACTAGTGATCGTTGGCTGTTGACAACCTGTGTACTATATGTTTTTGCTGGAAATCAAAGTGTGTTCGTCAAATGCCCTTTCAGAACCCTATTATCTCAGCATGCAAAGCCAGCATCTGAGGATTTTCCACATAGAATCGACCGGTGTGTACTAAAAGACGTATGTATAGAAAAGGGGAGCTATGGTTTTAAAGAAGACTGAGTTTTCATCATTTTGAAACTGTATAAATTAACATGAGTTTCAAATCAACAGTCTGCAATTTTGATTTTATCAACTCAAGAAGCCTTGATCCATGGGAGTGACATAAAATGTTCTGGAGATTTTAATCAAGATGAGATAATGCATATAAAAGTGAACAGTGAGGTCCCACACAAAGTATTTTAGGATATGCTACTAATTTTCGTAGTCTCCAGGGTAATGTTTAATACAAATTTGCAAACAATGCAATAAATATACTCTGAAGTTGGATTCTTGTAGTTTAACAGCTACTCATTGCAAAAAAGAAAAAACTGAAAATAATGAGTAACTTTTTAGAACATTCATTAATGACTTTTCTTTTAAAAAATGGATTTTACCTGTTTTATTTTGTGTCAACCAGATATAACCTGAATGACCAAAAAGAATAGTATGTTTTTTTCAAATATGTCACCTTTATATGCTGGAAATATTTGCTCAAGATGTGATTCAACTGTGTCTGCCACACTGGAGAGCTTTAAAGAATCCTTTTACATTGAAGTGTCAATTATTTCTCTATTCTTTTCAGGCAGGTGAGTACCCTCTCATCATTGTCAGTTCATCTCATTTTCATTTTCAAAGTGCTAACCTAGAAAGTGGCCAGGTGCTTTGTCTCTGTCTCCTTGTTTTCACAGCCCCCAGCGCAGTCTTTCTTTTTTGTCCTTGTCAGTTTCATAACTTTGACCTCAAGGATGTTTTTCAGCCCACAGAGTAACTTGCAGCTTCCCAGGCTCTGCTGTGCAAAGATGCTTTTCATTTTGTGAGAACTACCTGTGCCTTGATGTGGTAGAGATACTTCCCTTCTACAAATTCAGCAAGGCACGATAACTTGTTTTCTTGATTTTCACACTGACTCAAACATTTATTAGGCATAGTACTCTAGCAATGTTGGGAAATACATAGAAGAGTCCCCCCATTTCTTGACCTTAAGAACCATACATAAAATAAGATGGAAATAACATGTGCTGAATGCAATAGAACTGCTCCATCCAATAGAATAATTGCCAGTTAATTGGTTACTGAGCATTTGAAATGTGGTCTGAATTGAGATGCACCATTAATTGTAAAATACACATTGGATTTCAAAGATTTACTGAAAAAATGCAAAGCATCTCAATTTTTAAATACTGATTACATGTTAATGTGATAATATTTTGGATATGTTGGGTTAAGTAAAACATATATTAAAATTAATTTAACCTGTTTCATTTTACCTTTTTTCACGTGGCTACTAGAAAACTCAAAATTGCATCTTTGGCTCACATTATTTCTATTCAGCAGTGTTGTTATAGAAGTTTACAGAGGAGTAGGGGAGTATGTCCTATATATGTGGTAGGGTAGACACAGAGAGCCATGGTGAACAGAAAGCTATCTGAGAGGAGGTGACACTGGAGCTAAGTCTTGAATGGTGGCAGACTCTAGACACACAGAGTGGAGAAGGGATCTCAGCCAGCAGCAGAGAGGCAATGCTGTGTAATGGGCAAGGCAGGCTTTGGATGACATCTCAACTCCCTCTTATGATAAATTAGTACAGTGCCTAGAACAAGAAAAAGCACTTAATAAGCGGTATCTAATTTTACCAGGATGTGAATGTTAGCAAGGTTAAAGGATGATTTAAAGGATGTTAAAATGACTTCTAACCTAAAAGTCATTTCCTTCGCTACCATGCCAGAGACACCACCACTAAAGCCTTGCCTCTCCTTTCACATCGCTGCTTATAAAATAATGGCTTATAATCTGAATGAATCCCAAATTCTACACAGTACATATTCATGAACAGAGGAAAAAAGCGATACTTTCCAATTGACTTTCATTGTCCTTCTTCCATAAGTGACTTTCTAACATTTGATAACCTTTTTTTATTTTTTGCATGTGGAAATAAAA